GTCCCTTCCGCCCAGTTCAGGATGGAGGAATCTCATCTCCCTGTCTCAAAGGGCTAGAGAAGCCGAAGCAACGTTAGTGACCGAGCTCTTAATAGCGTACGATTCGGTGACTTCCCTGCCAAATCTCTGCCGGTGTCCTCCCAATACGTGCGTACCTTCGTATCTGGGCGAACAACCGTCGCACTTCATACGGTGTACGACTATTGGATGCATGGAGTCGGGGGGGGGGGGGGGGGGGTTTGCTCACCTCTCGCGAGTTTTTTTTCAGGCGCTCATTTAGGCGCCTGCCGGTCTGCCCCTATATACCCCCCCCCCCCCCCCCCCCGAAAAAAGGATGGTATAAACCACCTCCTTCCTGCACTTAACAAACTGCTGTCCGTGCTTTTTGTTGCATTGGGTCGCAGAGGGTGGGGTATTCACCATTCTGCACATTTGTTGAAGCTTTTGCTTGCAGCTAAACACTACTCCTATCTCGAAGTGATAGGCGAGTCCCTTAAAGGGACAATGAAGGCAATTTCGGAAACCATTTTGGCGATTGAACTGGGTTCCAGGCACGCCTCACGCCACGTTGCCCAAATTTCAGCCGAAACCGGTGCTTGTATGCCGCACAAATCAATTAAACAGTTGCGGTAATAATCGTACCGGAATCGACTGGAGCGACGCCCCGAGAGTTGCGGGAGAAGCCAAGAGAAGCGGAGCTCACGTGACCGATGCGAGGCCAAGAAGCGCGACGTCACAAGAGACGCCTCAGCGATTGGTTGAAACGAGAGATGCGCCCTCGGTCACGTTTTGATTCCCGGTTTTTAGGAATACTGTTCTAATTTCCGCTTGAATAGCCATGAAAAGTATAAATCGGACCGGAAAGGATTACTAAACCGTAAATAAAGCAGCATAATTGTTTTTTTCTTTGCTACGCTGGACGCGAAACGGCCACCGAGCAACTATGGGCACTTCGGCATGCGGGCCGATCGATATCGGCTGGGCGGTCTCCCTCGGGTGATGGCGGAGGCCGCCACACGCGTACTCCCGCTCCGTTTGTGTTGGGTTACTGAAGATAAGCTCGAACTCGCTCGCGACAGCGGCATTGCCGTCTATGTTGACAGATTCGACGAAACGACCGCGCCACCGCGCTGTTATAACCCACCGCGGTAACAAGAGTCTCGATCTCCTAAATACTACCGATACCGACTATTCACACTTGACGTCACTCCCTACGTCACCTCCGTTTTCGGAGGCCCAGAAACGAGAATCGAGATTGTTTAGTTTCGGTTTCTTTACTCCTTTCGTAGGCACAGAAATACGCGTCACAAATGTCTACAAAAAATTGGGCAGCATGCTATGTTCCCAAGAAGCATAAAAAAAATAATTTAAAAAAATTAAATAAAATCGTCTTCATTGTCCCTTTAAGGCAATGTGCGGTATTGTGCGAGTAGGGGATAACTGCAAAATGTTTTTTACGAGGAACAGGAGCGGCTGGCGGTGCCCGGGAGGCAGTGATCAGCCTCTTTAGTGTCTTTGCCACTAAGTCTTCAGGGTACCCTGCCCTCTTTAGCCTCTCTGTCTGTAGAGCACGCTGTGCGTGGTGAGATGGGGGCACGACCTGGTTCCAGAGGATTTTAGGAGTGAGTTCACGAGACCCCGTTTTACTGCTTTGAAGTGGGCACTCGTGAAGGGCGGACCGGCTTTTCTGTGCGCTATCTGAACTCCCAGCATATCCCATCGGGGTGCATCTTCAGGTGCAGGTCCAAGTTTTGAAGACCGTCTTCAGACGGGTCTTTTCTCTTGAAGGAGAGTCCGGTGGGTCTCGAAGCGAAGGCCTGAATGACAGACTCGGGAGGGGTCTACTTTGGGTGCACGATCAGATAATCATATACATACCGGAACACCCAGCTCTCCGGCGCGGTCTCCTCCATTGAGCTCCTATGCACAGCGCGCACAGCATGCTTCTACAAACAGAGAGGCTAAAGAGGGCAGGGTATCCTGAAGACTTAGTGGCAAATACTCTAAAGAGGCTGATCACCGCCTCCCGGGCACCGCCAGCCGCTCCTGTTACTCGCAAAAAGCATTTTACAGTTATCCCCTACTTGCATAACATCGCCTTAAGGGACTCGCCTATCACTGAGCAAACCCCCCGACGACTCCATGCATCCAATAGTCGTACACCGTATGACGTGCGACGGTTGTTCGCCCAGATGCGAAGGTACGCGCATATTGGGAGGACACAGGCAGAGATTTGGCGGGGAAGTCGCCAAATGGTACGCCATTAAGAGCTTGGTCACTAACGTCGCTTCGGCTTCTCTATCTAGCCCTTTCCGACAGGCAGATGAAATTCCTCCGTTCGGAACTGGGCGGAAGGGACCAGAGGCCTTGAGGGAAGGCCGCGAATAACTCATTTTTCCTCCTCCTCCTCTTTCAACCCCCCCCTCTTTCAACCGTTCGGTGCGGCCAGTGCGCCAGCCCTTTTTCAGTCCTTCATGGACGAGGTGCTTAAAGGCATACCTCATGTGGGATGCTACATTAATGACGTCATCGTGTCTGGAAAGGACACCCAGGACTGTCAAAAGACGCTGGAATGCGTCTTGCGTCGACTTCGTGACTACAATGTCACTTTGAAAACGGACAAGTGCCGTTTTTTTCCAAAGCTCGGTGACCTACCTGGGTCACACGGTGAGTGCCGATGGCATTTACCCGACAGAAGCAATGACAAAGGCTATCACAGAAGCGCCCGAGCCCACCTGCGTAACGGAACTGAAGGCGTATTTGCGGATGCTAAACTTTTACGCTAAGTTTCTCAAGAATGTTTCGTGCGTAGCTGAACCGCTTTATCGGTTGTTGAAAAAAGGTGAAAAGTGGTCGTGGACTCGGAAGTGCAGCGAGGCCTTTGCTGCTACGAAGCAGTTGCTCGTAAACAGCCAGGTTCTTACGTTCTACGACGTAGACAAGCCAATTGCATTGCTGTGTGATGCTTCATCGTACGGGATTGGTGCTGTCATTTTTCATGTAACACCAGAAGGGGAAGAGCGCCCAGTGGCGTTCGCGTCGCGAACGCTCACGTCAGCGGAAAAGAACTATGCGCAGTGCGAGCGAGAAGCGCTAGCTCTGATGTTTGGTCTGAAAAAGTTCCATCGCTACCTGTATGGTAGGGAGTTCACTCTCTATACAGACCATCAGCCACTGCTTGGGATACTGGGGCACGATAAGCCTGTACCTACGCTAGCGGCAGCTCGAATGCAAAGATGGGCAATGATTCTTGCAGCCTATAGGTACAAACTCAAGTACCGTAAAGGAAAAGATGTCGAGGTGGCTGATGCTCTGTCTAGACTCCCACGACCGATGACAACAGCTGACGACCCTGCTGAGTGTCTTTTGTTGTTTGACAGTACTCCCTTGACCGCGGAAGATGTAGCTAGAGCTACAAAACGTGACTTGACCTTGTCTCGCGTAGCTAACTACGTTCTGAATGGATGGCCTGCCCAAAGTAGCGAAGAGCTAAAACCGTACCATGTACGACGTGACGAGTTGTCATTTGAGCAAGGCTGCGTCACCTGGGGCTCAAGGGTGATTGTACCTGAAAAGCTGCAGTCACAGGTTTTGGCACTGTTGCATGAGGACCATCCAGGTGCTAGCCGCATGAAAATGCTTGCCAGAAGTTTTGTATGGTGGCCAGGGCTAGACCTAGAAATCGAGAGCTACGTACGACAGTGTCGCGTATGTCAGTCTGTTCAGAACGCTGCTCCACCTGTACCGTTACAGCCATGGAGCTATCCAACTAAGCCGTGGCAACGAGTACACGTGGATTTTGCTGCTAAAGAAGGCCATGTCTTCCTAGTACTGGTGGATGCTTTCTCGAAATGGATCGAAGTGTGGTCCATGTCTTCCACCACTACTGGTAAAACACTCGACAAATTGCGAAGTGTATTTGCGGCTTATGGGCTACCAGAGGTACTGGTGAGTGATAACGGACCTCAGTTTGTTTCAGATGAGTTCTCTGAGTTTATGAGGGTGAATGGCATCAAGCACGTTAAGACGCCACCCTATCATGCTGCCTCCAACGGCGCAGCAGAGCGTCTCGTGCAGACCACAAAAAAAACTCTGCTGAAGCAATTGTTAGACGAGAAACAGAGTGGCAAGAAACACTCTTTGCTCGAACGTTTGGATAGCTTTTTACTGAGCTATCGAAACACCCCAAACAGTACCACTGGTCGCACTCCAGCCGAGCTGTTTTTGAAGCGACAGCCACGAGTGAAACTTTCTTTGCTTAAACCCGATTTTGTAAAAGCCATGCAAAACAAACAGCAGCACCTGAAGGAACAGAGTGATGCGTCGCGAAATGCTAACCGGTCTTTTGTTGTGGGTGATACTGTGTTGGTCAAAACGGTGCGAGGCGAGCTAGTGTCATGGGAAGAAGGTGTGGTGACTCAAGTCGTCAGTCCTGTGACATATTTAGTGAAAGTGGCGCAGGTTGTGCGGTTCACACACGCCGACCACATCCGAGACCGCCTTGCAAGCCCGACGTCCCTTGCTGCACCGCCTACGCCGGAGGAGCCTACGCTCCCAGATGTTCCGGTGCCTCGAGAAACTCAGCCGATGGTGCCACAAGTTGCTTCTGCTGCTATGCCAGCGGACTCTCAAGCCGGCAGTCAACAAGCTACACGGACGCGTCAGCAGCCGCTTCCACCACCGAGTTCCACAAGTGCGCCAGTGACGACACCGGAGCCTTGTACTGAGGCACCGACTTCCAGAAGAAGTACGCGAGTGCGGCGTCCACCGGACAGGTACAAACCGGAGCAGGCAGGCGGCACGACAGACAGCGTTACTACACGCCGGAAGCAAAGACGCGTCGTTGAACGAGATAAGAGCGAACCAGAAAGATAACGTCAATAAGCGTGACGTTCGAAAACACAAGCAAAGCAAGAAGTCTTGCGAAAGATTTGGAAGGGCGCATGCGGCAAGCAAATGTTGGTACAAGAATGCTACGTGTCACAAGTGTGGCAAGTTAGGCCATTTGCAAAAAAGTGTGCTCGAGCGAGAAAAAGGGACCCAAGAACGCGAATGCAGTGGACTGCTCGGAGGACGATTCAGAACTGGACGTCTATCACTGCCTTAACACGGTGCGTTCGGGTTATGAAGTGAAAGTCAATGTTGAAGGGGCGGACGTTTTCATGCAAATTGATACAGGAGCGGCTGTAACAATTGTTCCTGAAAGTGTTGCGAAAACCGTGTTCCCTCATGTCAAGTGTGAGCCATCTCGGGTAAACCTAAAAACGTACACGGGTGAACGAATCCCGGTAAAGGGGCAATGTGACGTTTCCGTCACATACGAAAACCAGACTTTGAAACTGCCCGTTATCGTCGTCGATAACCAAGGCAAGAAATTGCCGTTGCTCATGGGGCGGAACTGGCTTGAGAGGCTCAGACTTGATTGGAAAAGCGTCATGTCACTGGAGCATGTAACTGATTCACACCGAATAGAAGCGCTGCGTAACAAGTTCCCGACAGTATTTTCTAATCAGTCTAGTGTCACGAACAACTATCAAGCGAAGATGGTTCTAAAACAAGATTGTACGCCGGTTTTTTGCAAGGCGAGACCGGTGCCTTACGCGTTACGCGATAAGGTTGGAGAAGAGCTGGACAGGCTAGAGAAGAGCGGGGTTTTACGCCGCGTAAGTCACAGTGAGTGGGCGACTCCGGTAGTTGTAATTCACAAGAAAGATGGATCACTCAGGTTGTGCGGGGATTACAAAGTAACGATCAACCCTGTACTAAAAACCGACCATTACCCACTGCCGCGACCTGAAGATCTGTACACTGCCATCGCAGGTGGCAAAGTGTTTTGCGTGCTGGATCTTTCTGCTGCGTATCAGCAGGTACCGCTGGCTGCCGAGTCCAAACCACTTTTGACTATAAACACGCACATGGGGTTGTTTCAGTTCCAACGCCTACCGTTTGGTGTGGCCAGTGCGCCAGCCATTTTTCAGTCCTTCATGGACGAGGTGCTTAAAGGCATACCTCATGTGGGATGCTACATTGATGACGTCATCGTGTCTGGAAAGGACATACAGGACTGTCAAAAGACGCTGGAATGCGTCTTGCGTCGACTTCGTGACTACAATGTCACTTTGAAAACGGACAAGTGCCGTTTTTTTCCAAAGCTCGGTGACCTACCTGGGTCACACGGTGAGTGCCGATGGCATTTACCCGACACAAGCAATGACAAAGGCTATCACAGAAGCGCCCGAGCCCACCTGCGTAACGGAACTGAAGGCGTATTTGGGGATGCTAAACTTTTACGCTAAGTTTCTCAAGAATGTTTCGTGCGTAGCTGAACCGCTTTATCGGTTGTTGAAAAAAGGTGAAAAGTGGTCGTGGACTCGGAAGTGCAGCGAGGCCTTTGCTGCTACGAAGCAGTTGCTCGTAAACAGCCAGGTTCTTACGTTCTACGACGTAGACAAGCCAATTGCATTGCTGTGTGATGCTTCATCGTACGGGATTGGTGCTGTCATTTTTCATGTAACACCAGAAGGGGAAGAGCGCCCAGTGGCGTTCGCGTCGCGAACGCTCACGTCAGCGGAAAAGAACTATGCGCAGTGCGAGCGAGAAGCGCTAGCTCTGATGTTTGGTCTGAAAAGGTTCCATCGCTACCTGTATGGTAGGGAGTTCACTCTCTATACAGACCATCAGCCACTGCTTGGGATACTGGGGCACGATAAGCCTGTACCTACGCTAGCGGCAGCTCGAATGCAAAGATGGGCAATGATTCTTGCAGCCTATAGGTACAAACTCAAGTACCGTAAAGGAAAAGATGTCGAGGTGGCTGATGCTCTGTCTAGACTCCCACGACCGATGACAACAGCTGACGACCCTGCTGAGTGTCTTTTGTTGTTTGACAGTACTCCCTTGACCGCGGAAGACGTAGCTAGAGCTACAAAACGTGACTTGACCTTGTCTCGCGTAGCTAACTACGTTCTGAATGGATGGCCTGCCCAAAGTAGCGAAGAGCTAAAACCGTACCATGTACGACGTGACGAGTTGTCATTTGGGCAAGGCTGCGTCACCTGGGGCTCAAGGGTGATTGTACCTGAAAAGCTGCAGTCACCGGTTTTGGCACTGTTGCATGAGGACCATCCAGGTGCTAGCCGCATGAAAATGCTTGCCAGAAGTTTTGTATGGTGGCCAGGGCTAGACCTAGAAATCGAGAGCTACGTACGACAGTGCCGCGTATGTCAGTCTGTTCAGAACGCTGCTCCACCTGTACCGTTACAGCCATGGAGCTATCCAACTAAGCCGTGGCAACGAGTACACGTGGATTTTGCTGCTAAAGAAGGCCATGTCTTCCTAGTACTGGTGGATGCTTTCTCGAAATGGATCGAAGTGTGGTTCATGTCTTCCACCACTACTGGTAAAACACTCGACAAATTGCGAAGTGTATTTGCGGCTTACGGGCTACCAGAGGTACTGGTGAGTGATAACGGACCTCAGTTTGTTTCAGATGAGTTCTCTGAGTTTATGAGGGTGAATGGCATCAAGCACGTTAAGACGCCACCCTATCATGCTGCCTCCAACGGCGCAGCAGAGCGTCTCGTGCAGACCACAAAAAAAACTCTGCTGAAGCAATTGTTAGACGAGAAACAGAGTGGCAAGAAACACTCTTTGCTCGAGCGTTTGGATAGCTTTTTACTGAGCTATCGAAACACCCCAAACAGTACCACTGGTCGCACTCCAGCCGAGCTGTTTTTGAAGCGACAGCCACGAGTGAAACTTTCTTTGCTTAAACCCGATTTTGTAAAAGCCATGCAAAACAAACAGCAGCACCTGAAGGAACAGAGTGATGCGTCGCGAGGTGCTAACCGGTCTTTTGTTGTGGGTGATACTGTGTTGGTCAAAACGGTGCGAGGCGAGCTAGTGTCATGGGAAGAAGGTGTGGTGACTCAAGTCGTCAGTCCGGTGACATATTTAGTGAAAGTGGCGCAGGTTGTGCGGTTCACACACGCCGACCACATCCGAGACCGCCTTGCAAGCCCGACGTCCCTTGCTGCACCGCCTACGCCGGAGGAGCCTACGCTCCCAGATGTTCCGGTGCCTCGAGAAACCCAGCCGATGGTGCCACAAGTTGCTTCTGCTGCTATGCCAGCGGACTCTCAAGCCGGCAGTCAACAAGCTACACGGACGCGTCAGCAGCCGCTTCCACCACCGAGTTCCACAAGTGCGCCAGTGACGACACCGGAGCCTTGTACAGAGGCTCCGACTTCCAGAAGAAGTACGCGAGTGCGGCGTCCACCGGACAGGTACAAACCGGAGGACTTCCGAAGCTGATGTGAGGGGGAAGGAATGTAGCAGCGTGGCGCTGCAAGTCACGGCGCACCACGGCGCATCGGCTGTGCGCACCCCGGTCACGGATGTCACGTGACAAGCGCCTATAAGTATAGCACGTTCAATAAAAAAGCCCTCTTTGCCCGTTGGAATGTCGTCTGCTCAAGTTATCACAGTGTTCCCGTTGGCCTCGGCAGCCAGGTACCGCTGGCCGTGGTTTGGACTCGGCAGCCAGGTACCGCTGGCTGCCGAGTCCAAACCACTTTTGACTATAAACACGCACATGGGGTTGTTTCAGTTCCAACGCCTACCGTTTGGTGTGGCCAGTGCGCCAGCCATTTTTCAGTCCTTCATGGACGAGGTGCTTAAAGGCATACCTCATGTGGGATGCTACATTGATGACGTCATCGTGTCTGGAAAGGACACCCAGGACTGTCAAAAGACGCTGGAATGCGTCTTGCGTCGACTTCGTGACTACAATGTCACTTTGAAAACGGACAAGTGCCGTTTTTTTCCAAAGCTCGGTGACCTACCTGGGTCACACGGTGAGTGCCGATGGCATTTACCCGACAGAAGCAATGACAAAGGCTATCACAGAAGCGCCCGAGCCCACCTGCGTAACGGAACTGAAGGCGTATTTGGGGATGCTAAACTTTTACGCTAAGTTTCTCAAGAATGTTTCGTGCGTAGCTGAACCGCTTTATCGGTTGTTGAAAAAAGGTGAAAAGCGGTCGTGGACTCGGAAGTGCAGCGAGGCCTTTGCTGCTACGAAGCAGTTGCTCGTAAACAGCCAGGTTCTTACGTTCTACGACGTAGACAAGCCAATTGCATTGCTGTGTGATGCTTCATCGTACAGGATTGGGGCTGTCATTTTTCATGTAACACCAGAAGGGGAAGAGCGCCCAGTGGCGTTCGCGTCGCGAACGCTCACGTCAGCGGAAAAGAACTATGCGCAGTGCGAGCGAGAAGCGCTAGCTCTGATGTTTGGTCTGAAAAAGTTCCATCGCTACCTGTATGGTAGGGAGTTCACTCTCTATACAGACCATCAGCCACTGCTTGGGATACTGGGGCATGATAAGCCTGTACCTACGCTAGCGGCAGCTCGAATGCAAAGATGGGCAATGATTCTTGCAGCCTATAGGTACAAACTCAAGTACCGTAAAGGAAAAGATGTCGAGGTGGCTGATGCTCTGTCTAGACTCCCACGACCGATGACAACAGCTGACGACCCTGCTGAGTGTCTTTTGTTGTTTGACAGTACTCCCTTGACCGCGGAAGACGTAGCTAGAGCTACAAAACGTGACTTGACCTTGTCTCGCGTAGCTAACTACGTTCTGAATGGATGGCCTGCCCAAAGTAGCGAAGAGCTAAAACCGTACCATGTACGACGTGACGAGTTGTCATTTGAGCAAGGCTGCGTCACCTGGGGCTCAAGGGTGATTGTACCTGAAAAGCTGCAGTCACAGGTTTTGGCACTGTTGCATGAGGACCATCCAGGTGCTAGCCGCATGAAAATGCTTGCCAGAAGTTTTGTATGGTGGCCAGGGCTAGACCTAGAAATCGAGAGCTACGTACGACAGTGTCGCGTATGTCAGTCTGTTCAGAACGCTGCTCCACCTGTACCGTTACAGCCATGGAGCTATCCAACTAAGCCGTGGCAACGAGTACACGTGGATTTTGCTGCTAAAGAAGGCCATGTCTTCCTAGTACTGGTGGATGCTTTCTCGAAATGGATCGAAGTGTGGTCCATGTCTTCCACCACTACTGGTAAAACACTCGACAAATTGCGAAGTGTATTTGCGGCTTATGGGCTACCAGAGGTACTGGTGAGTGATAACGGACCTCAGTTTGTTTCAGATGAGTTCTCTGAGTTTATGAGGGTGAATGGCATCAAGCACGTTAAGGCGCCACCCTATCATGCTGCCTCCAACGGCGCAGCAGAGCGTCTCGTGCAGACCACAAAAAAAAACTCTGCTGAAGCAATTGTTAGACGAGAAACAGAGTGGCAAGAAACACTCTTTGCTCGAACGTTTGGATAGCTTTTTACTGAGCTATCGAAACACCCCAAACAGTACCACTGGTCGCACTCCAGCCGAGCTGTTTTTGAAGCGACAGCCACGAGTGAAACTTTCTTTGCTTAAACCCGATTTTGTAAAAGCCATGCAAAACAAACAGCAGCACCTGAAGGAACAGAGTGATGCGTCGCGAGGTGCTAACCGGTCTTTTGTTGTGGGTGATACTGTGTTGGTCAAAACGGTGCGAGGCGAGCTAGTGTCATGGGAAGAAGGTGTGGTGACTCAAGTCGTCAGTCCTGTGACATATTTAGTGAAAGTGGCGCAGGTTGTGCGGTTCACACACGCCGACCACATCCGAGACCGCCTTGCAAGCCCGACGTCCCTTGCTGCACCGCCTACGCCGGAGGAGCCTACGCTCCCAGATGTTCCGGTGCCTCGAGAAACTCAGCCGATGGTGCCACAAGTTGCTTCTGCTGCTATGCCAGCGGACTCTCAAGCCGGCAGTCAACAAGCTACACGGACGCGTCAGCAGCCGCTTTCACCACCGAGTTCCACAAGTGCGCCAGTGACGACACCGGAGCCTTGTACTGAGGCACCGACTTCCAGAAGAAGTACGCGAGTGCGGCGTCCACCGGACAGGTACAAACCGGAGGACTTCCGAAGCTGATGTGAGGGGGAAGGAATGTAGCAGCGTGGCGCTGCAAGTCACGGCGCACCACGGCGCATCGGCTGTGCGCACCCCGGTCACGGATGTCACGTGACAAGCGCCTATAAGTATAGCACGGTCAATAAAGAAGCCTCTTTGCCCGTTGGAATGTCGTCTGCTCAAGTTATCACACTTTTTCCTTCTCTGCTCCCTCCCCTGAACCTGCTCGATGGCCGTCGTTTGAACGGAGACGAAATAAATGTTGGTGAGAGTTGAAAGAGTTGTAAGCGTCTGATTTCGTCCCAAATTTTGTTTATTCTTTCCGATAGTTTAAGTATAATTACGAACACGCTCGTTTTTAATGTTAAATCCGGTCGCTGTAGCTATTTTACTATACGAAGTTGGTACTGGTATGGGCCTTTAGCGACGATGACTGGAAGTCTGGAATAATAAATAAAAACGTGCTCTCCCGGCGCAATAGACGCAGTGGTTGAGTTGCCAGCTGTCTCCACTGCTATTGAAGTAACAGGGCAAAGATACGCTAGTTGATCATTTACTGAGATAAAACAACAGAGCGCTAAGGGCTGGTTTTGGAGTAGCCATAAATATTCTAAGAATGCGCACCACTTCATAACGGCAGCCACGAGCGAGAGTTCAATGTTTGGTAGATGGAGAACGGCAACCTCCCTGTTTTACGTCTGCTAGCAGAGTCGGGCGCGTGCCCTCTCTCGTTTTACCCCGCCGACCCTGCTGAACTTCCCGGATGTGTGGAGAGGGTGCTGTGGTCTAACAATATGGCGCCACCCTGAGAGAGCTAAATGAAATGGTCTATAAGCTCCCTCCGGGAGCCAGAGTTGCGCATCTGTTTTCCACATGCTGCCGCACCGCTAATCGCCGAGATCCGATCACGTGAGGAGCAGACTCAAATGCCGTGCAGGAAAGTAGACGTTGCGTGCGCCCCGGCATACATTCCCCTGCTTTCGGGCGAGCCTCGAACGCACGGCGCAGATATTCGCCGAATTCAGACAGATGAGGGATCAGCGTGCCATGCAGGAAAGACGGCGCTACGGGGATGAGCACGCAACTCTGGCTCCCATAGGGAGCCTATACAGGAATTCTGCAAGCACTGGTACCACAGATCAAGCAGTACCTACCTCTCCACGCTTATGCCGGAAACTCTCAGCCTCGGGGTTCGGTCGTGGTTGGCGCCAGGCATGTAGCAAGTGGGGGGGCCCATGGGGCTTGCCCCCCCCCCCCCCCCGAAATCTTCCATTTTGCTGGGACCTCCTGTCCCCCTCCCCCTCATACAGCATTTTGTCATAGGCGGCCCCGGCCCTCCCCCCCCCCCCCCCCCCCCTTTTGCCCGAAACAAAATCCTGGCTACGTGCCTGGTTGGCGCGGTCTCGCGCGGCGAGATGCAGCAGTGTCCTGTGAGCAGTTAGAAACTATCTCGCTCACCAGGGCGTGCACAACTACATCCTCTCCTTTCCAGAGGGAGGGTAAAAACCGGATTTTAAGCCTTGTTCAACTTCTTACTAACTGTGCAGCGATATTACCAATTCTAAGCAGTCGCAAGAGATTAAAATCTGTTTTTGCACCCTCCGGTCACAAGCAGTCACAAGTTTGTGAAACAGCCATTACAAATGTTTCATTTCAGTTCATTTATACCGCTAAAACAATATCAGTTTTGAGCAGTCAAAGCAGGATCGATCGAAACTTTGAGTTCAGACCAACATCCTTTTGTGAATTCTTAATAGAGTATTCGCACGACTAGGTTTCTCTCTGAGCACAGGATTAAACGTTATCGAGCTCTAAACTCACGTGCTCCGCATCACGAATGTTCTCAAATACCCCCAGCTCGCGGGGAGCCGAGGGGAATTTGTGACCGGCCGACAGAATATCTGTTGTTCCGTCAGAGCGACCAGGCCTCCCCTTTGTCCCCCTGCTTTTAGGAAGGTACCGCAGTTAACAGCAATTAGGTGGGCGCCTTTTTAAAAAAAAAATTATTATGCTTTTTGTTTGACGAGTTTCCGAAGTTCGCCAGCACATTCGAAAAAGGAAAGACTCCGGCAACTCCGACTCGGTTGTGCGAATGCTCGCTTGATATTTCCGCTCTGCCTCCTCCTCCTCGTTTTTTCCTTCTCGCAGCTCTACGACATACTCAATTTTCTCCAGCATTAATGATCTCTCATGAGATACCCCGTCACCATTATGCACATTTACAAGGCGATCAAAAGACTTTTAGCTGCACGAGCAGTTTCTTTGAAGCTCACTACCCATACAGGCATTGTATTCGAATGACTTGTCTTCCTTTTTTCTTAAGGGGGCACTAAACCAATGTCTGCGAAAGTCTATTTACGGTCATAAATGTGGACGTGTCTGCAATAGTTCTCGAGGAATCAATTTCTGATGCCGATTTAAGTAGCAATAGCTACTTAAATTGGTTAAGTGCTTCTTTAATTTGTTTAGCAGACAATTGCTAACCAACAGATTAAAGCAGGCTCCTCTGTTCCGTGCAATTTGCTTCGTAATCAGTTGGTCAACTTGACCGTCAAACTATATCTTCGATCTGATATAGATGTTTGATATACTATCCCCATCACGTGAGTGGATAGTTGAAATAGCTGCAAGGCTATGTCCTTTTTATCAAAGTAGACCATCTTCTGTGGTGAAGCTAAGGTTCTTGAGAGGCAGGTACTTTCTTGTGGCCCTTGTGGGTTGCTCTTCACACGTCCGTTTGTAGAGCAAGGTTTAGCATGGTGACAGGGTATCTTTTTGGTGGTAATCTTTATCCGTGCCACAGTTTTCAAGGGCATAAGAGCATTATTTGGTTGACTGACACTTAACTTGGTATTGTGAGTCAAGCAGATTGTCATGGCTGTGCTCATCTTCACGATAAGGAAAGAGGGACATTTAAGACAAACGGACAAGACAATGTCCCTCTTTCCTTATCGTGAATTAATAACCAACACGCTCAACCATCTACGTGCTCATCTTCTTTGTCAATGCTTTCTAAATATTGAGAGGTTATTGTCTGATTGGCCACTAATTGTAACTTGGCTTTGTTACAATTTTTCGTCCTCCGATTCCGAGTGATCAGGTTGTAAATGAGACCGAGGTGCCTGCAATTTGACAGGCTTACTGTGCTGCAAGGTCCATCTATCTTAACAATACCTAGGTGGTTGAGATGAATCTTCAAAGCTCGACTCTAATAATTTGTGTGATTTTATTATTTTGTTGTTCTAAGTGATGGCTTCTTTTATGCTTTGTATTTTCAGAAGTGGGCCTTCAACTCCTTCAGCTGGTGCTGCAAGCCTGCTGGCACAACTTGTGGCCCAGGTACCAGAATGAAGAGCTGAAAGCACTGTTCGAGTGAGAGGACCAGTGGCCCTTGCGCAGGTCGAAAACCGGACCGGGCAGTCATCAGAGCTATTTATGTTCCACTTCCATTAGCTCCAAGATGTTTCGTTGGCACCCTCTAATGGTTTCCGTCCGTGACGTCACAAACAGAATTTCCCTTGTCCTGATTGGCAATATTTGCCTCTATCTTCCTGTAATTGGCAGGATTTCCCTCCCCGTTAGCCGGCATTTGGGTAAGCATTATCAGTATACAGGAAGCTCTGGTTCGGCGGATCGCAAACCTCAACTACTGCGACGCTTTTTGTCGTGCACATTGCTAATAGTCTGCGTCACTAGTTGTGTGCAGTGCAAGCGAAGCAACGCCGGGCAAAAAAAAGGGCAAGCACTAGGAAGGCTGGACAGAAGAAGAGGGCGAGGCGAGAAAGAGAGAGCACTAGGAACTTTAAAGAGGAGGGTAGGTTTCTCCCCTCCCCAACCTTTCTAGTGCTTGGCCTTTCTCCCCTCGTCTGGCGTTGCCTTCGTCTGTCGTTCACGTAATTATAGTCTGTTACAACTGAAGAATGTAAGGAAAGGGAAAGGAAGGCCGGGGAGGAGGAAGCAGACGAATTGCTGGAGAGGAGAGGAGAAAGTTTTTCCCTCTTCTATCTAGCATTCTGTCTGCTTCCTCCTCCCCGGCCTTCCTTTCCCTCGCCCCATCTTCTTGAGCTGTAACTTACTATAATGAAACAGGGTATAGGGGACATGTTGCTTTTTGAAACAATCAAGACTCATGAAGGATTGATAAGAGCCTGTTGGTATGGTCATTTTAGTCTTTAGTGGAATAGACCGATCTCACCTAGCGTTCAGTGCATCTGTGAAGCCGCCATAACTTTAGTTCACAAGAGGCAGGTGGCAGTGCTCGAGACACCTCGTGCCGTCTCGCGCTTTGCATGCGCAGAGCTCCAGCGAGGTTGGGGCACATGCAGAAAGACGAAAGTTCCCTTGATGCATTGCAGCAGCAGTGGCTTAGCCAAACTGGCCTGTGAAATCAGTCTAATACAACTAAAAAAATTGAAATTATTTGTATAAGTTAGGTAAGTCCTTGTTATATATTTGCCAAATATAATTGTTAGGTGTACATCCTTTAAAGGAATGCTGAAGCGAAATTTTGATTTCCGAAAACAACGCAGAAGCGCTAGGCGGGACGCTACAAACCCGAAAGCATCACGCATAAAGCGATATTTCTAACGGATGGTTGTATTTTTTGTGAAAGAAGAGCATGCTTGAACAATGGCCAAAAAGGCCCGTGACGTCGCGATTCTGGTTTCCTCCTCTTCTCACTTTGACTCCGCGAGGACGCGAAAAGGGAAAGAAGCAAGGCTGTTTCCCCCCCTCCTCAACTATTCTGCAGGAAACACAATGTCGCGATTCTCACTCATCGCATCCTTATTTTACAAAAATATGGCTATCCGTTCGAGATATCGCTTTATGAGTGGTGTTTAGGGGTTGGTGGCGCCCCGTTGAACACTCCTGCTACCTTATTTTGTGAAATCTAAATTTCTGTTCCTTTCCTTTAAGACCTGTTCACATATACACTGCACCTGTGCTGCCAAGTTCTTAATCTTGGTGAAGCTTTTAAAGTACTGCATTAAGTCGGTTTGGGGATGCATCACGCTACGATTTACGACAGAGGTGCCCGAAGGTATTGGAATCACTGCATCAAAAGCTCAAAGAACAAACTTACCTGAGTAAAAGGTAAAAAAATCACTATTTTTTTCTGCCTTTGGTGCCCGTCTGCTAACTGTGCACCCTTTGACTGGCTCAATAACTGACAGATGGCGACATCAACCCTAGCGGCTTGTAGCTGCTCAGCAGCCGCCCAGTCACACGAAAATCAGACAACCCTTTTGAGTCATAAATGGTGCACACTTTTTCGGTGCTATAATTGTCGGAACATTATTTTATTTTCACCCCCAATAAATCACATTAAATGGACACAAAAATAATCAAACCGATGGTTCGTTGAGTAATTTCAGCTACATGTGGTGTGCTTTTGGCGTGACCGTGGAGCTACTGAGCTGCCATAGGGCGTCGGTGACGTTGCCGCCATCTGTCGGTTGTTGTGCCAGTCGGAGGGTGCGCATATACTAGCACACTGGTGCCATACGTAGCCAAACCAGTTTTTTTACTTTTTACTCGGGTAAGTTCATTCTTTGAAATGTTTTCTGCGATGCTTTCACCACCTTCAGGCACCCCTCTGGTAACTCGTAGTGCGATACATTGTGAAGCCAATTTATGCGGTGATTTGAAAGGGTTCACCCAGATTCGGGGCGTTACAATAGTGCAGTACTATTAGTAAGTGCTTGGAATAGTGCTGACTTTGCTCTTTGTTAATGATCTGATGCTCATATACTGCTGTATCAGTACTAAGTTAAGTTCAATTCAGCACTGTTTTACTGTTGATTTAGCTCTGTCCCGTATATGTGAGCTATCCCTTATAGTCGTTTTTTAAAAAGTTGATAACTCTTGCATGTTTGTGTAGTATCTTGCGAAGCGCATCGCGTATGACGTCACATTGATAGTGCGTCGCTTATCTCTATATAAGCGCTGGGAGCCGTATGCTCCGTGTTCTTTTGGTTACGCAATGGCGTGCTGAATAAACCGTCTACGTTGGTCGTCACTCTGGCTCTGCCTCGTCGCTCGCGGCTACAACATACTAGCGACGAAGAATGGGATAAAGGATTCCGGCGGGGTACAAGAAGCCACTAGCGGCGGTCCCGGAGCAGGCTGCGAAGAGACTGGCAGGATGGCGACGATTGGAAGGTTCGACCAGTTCGAGGACGGCGACGAAGACTTCGAGTCCTACGTGGAGAGGTTCGAACACTTCCTGAAAGCCTCGAAGGTGAGCGACGACCTGACGGTCTCAGTGTTCATAACGGCAATTGGAAAGAAAACCTACAAAACTCTAAAAACTTTGCTGGAACCGGAAAAGCCGGAAAACAAGACATATGCACAGCTAGTGCAGACCCTGCGAGGGCACTACGTACCAAAGCCCTCTGTCATTGCAGAGCGGTTCAGATTTAACCGTCGCTTCCAGCAAGAAGGCGAAACGGTGGCAGCTTTCGCGGTAGAGCTGAAGCGGTTGGCGGCGTCCTGCGACATTGGGGCGTTTCTGGACGAGGCTCTTCGCGACCGTTTCGTGGCCGGGCTCTGTGACAGAGGAACTCAAGCTGAGTTGCTGAAGAAGAGCAAGTTAACGTTTAAAAACGCCTGCGATATCGCAAGGAGTATTGAGTTGGCCAGCCAGGAAAGCCGGGATTTGCAGCCCAGCGTGGGGCAAGAGACCGTCAGCGCTCTTTGCCACAAGCCAGACAGCGGGAAACGCCCACCGCGCCGGAGGGAGGTACCGGCTACAGTACCCGCAGGGGCAAGAGCGACGAAATCGCCGGACTGTTTCCGATGCGGTTCAGCGCATGAAGCGTCTAGTTCCAAATTTCGCAAGTATCGTTGTCATTTTTGTAAACGTGTTGGACACTTAGCGAAAATGTGCAAGGATAAAAGCAGAGACGCTGCGAACGCAATCGCTGAGGACAGTGACGGGGGTGAACTGGTGTTGCACAATATCTATTCCTGTGAGGGGCGCACCGGACTTTACAAAATTTGTCTGAAAATTGAACAGAGAAATGTCCGCATGCAGATTGACACGGGGGCATCCGTATCAATATTACCAGAGGCACTGTATAAGAAATACTGGCCCAGTCTACCGAAAGAGCCATGCAGTCTAAAGCTAAAAACTTACGGGGGTACTCCACTCTCGGTAACGGGGAAGCTAACCGTTTCGGTAGAGCACAACGGTCAGCGTAAGCAGCTCCCGTTAATTGTCGTGAAGACAAACGAGAATACGAACACTGTGCTGTTGGGACGTGACTGGCTGGCGGCCCTTAAGTTGGACTGGTCTAGTGTGCATGGGGTTTGCTTGGACAAGGTAACGGCGTTGCTTGAAAAGTACGCTAAGCTTTTTGAGCCTACCCTTGGCCTAATCAAGAACAGTGCAATTAAATTATTGCTTAAAGAGGGCAGTACACCAGTCCTTTGTAAAGCGTGTTGGGTTCCATTTGCGGTTCGGAAAGCAGTGTCGTCCGAATTGCAGAATCTCGTAAAAACAGGGGTGTTAGTACCTGTTCAGAAAAGTGAATGGGCGACTCCACTAGTAGTCGTGCCTAAACCGAACAACCAGGTCAGAGTGTGTGGTGACTTTAAAGTGACGCTAAACCCATGCCTTAGAACGGATCATAACCCCCTTCCCGTCATGGACAATCTGTTTGCAAAAATGGCCGGGTGCAAATATTTTACTGTGCTTGATCTATCTACGGCATATCAGCAGCTGGAATTGCACCCGCAGGCGCAGTTACTAGTCGTGGTCAACACACACTTGGGGTTGTTCAGGTACACGCGTTTACCCTATGGCATAACGAGTGCACCTTCGATATTTCAGGCAGTCAGGGATGACGTGTTAAAAGGGCTGGATCGCGTAGCGTGCTATCTGGACGACGTGCTGGTAGCTGGAGCTACGTTTGATGAGTGTTTCCAAAAGGTGGAAAGTGTTCTGTCACGGTTTCAGGACAGGGGCATACGGTTAAAGAAAGAAAAATGCAGGTTCTTTCAAACGTCGGTCTCGTACTTGGGGCACGTTCTTGATGAAAAGGGCATACGCCCGTCAGATGAAAAAGTAAAGGCAATAATGGAGGCGCCGTCACCAAAGGATGAATCACAGTTGCGGGCCTACCTGGGGTTGCTTAACTTCTATGGGAAGTTCGTTCCTAACATGGCCGCCAAGCTAAGGCCTTTGTATGACGTAGTAAACCAGGAAAAAGGTTTCAAGTGGTCACTTCAGGCAGAACAAGCATTTCAGCAAAGTAAAACGTGGCTAACGGGCGAGAATGTTTTGACATACTACGACCAACAAAAAGAGATTGGGCTTGTGTGTGACGCGTCAGCGTATGGCGTAGGCGCCATTCTGTTTCATAAGAATGGTAAAGATGAAAAGCCAATTGCATACGCGTCTAGGGCACTGAGCAAAGCAGAGCAAGGGTACGCTCACATCGAAAAAGAGGCTCTCGCCGTTGCCTATGGGCTCAAGAAATTTCACAAGTACCTGTTTGGGCGTAGTTTCGTCATTTATTCAGATCACCAGCCATTAGCTAGCCTTCTGGCGCACGGCAAGCCTATTCCAGTGATGTCAGCGGCACGCATGCAACGCTGGGCTTTGTTGCTAGCGGCTTACGATTACAAATGGGTGTATCGTAAAGGCAGCGATATTGGAAACGCTCACGCGCTGTCGCGGTTGCCGTTGCCGAATGATAAGGATGTTTCAGATTATGTACATTTCTTCTCAGTTGTCGATGAACTTCCCTTGTCTGCTGACGCGATCCAAAAGGGAACGAGCACTGATAGGGTGTTATCGAAAGTGTTGATGTACACGAGGAGTGGCTGGCCTACGCGTGTAACGGACAGTGAATTGTCCCCGTACTTCGTCCGCCGGCATGAGCTGTCCGTAGATCAGCAGTGCGTTACGTGGGGAAATCGTGTGATTGTCCCTCGCCGCTTGCGCAAACAAGTGTTAGCGCTTCTGCACGAAGGTCACCCCGGAGTTACGCGCATGAAAATGCTCGCGCGTAGCTATGTCTGGTGGCCTCAGTTAACACAAGACATTGAATGTGTTGTTAAAAGTTGCAGTACCTGTCAGTTGACGCAAAACGCTTCACCGAAGGCCCCACTACAAACTTGGGGTTGGCCGAGCCGCAGATGGCAACGAATCCACCTGGATTTTGCATTCACAGACAACCAATGGCTTTTGGTGCTGGTGGATGTACACTCCAAATGGGTGGAGGTGTTCGTGATGAGTTCAACAACGGCAGAAAAGACTATTGAAAAGCTTCGGAGTGTGTTCGCGGCGTATCGCCTTCCGGAAGAGGTCGTTGCGGACAACGGGCCGCGGTTCACTGCGAAGAACTTCACAGAGTTTCTGCTCAGGAACGGAGTGCGTCATACCAGGACACCTCCGTACCATCCGGCATCAAATGGAAGTGCCGAGAGATGCGTCCAGACGGCCAAACGGGATCTTCTGCGACAGCTTCTCGACGAAAACTCTTTGGGCGTCAGGAAGACCCTACAACACCGTATAGACCAGTTTCTATTCAGGTATCGGAACACCCCCACCACGACAACGGGGCAAACGCCTGCTGAACTGTTCCTGTCGTGGAAGCCCCGCACCCGCCTGACCCTGCTACAGCCAGATCTGGAGAGACGTATAGCAGATCGTTTCTCCAAGATCAAGAGCCAAGCTGACGACAGAAGAGGGCCGTGGAGGTCATTCGAAGAGGGCGAAAGAGTAATAGTTCAAGGCCTTCGTCCGGGGGAGACAAAGTGGCTACCTGGGGTCATCGAGAAAAGGTGCAGTGCCGTTACGTACAGGTCCCGTCAAAGTAAAACGGAGCGCCGGAGCGGCGACCGAACTGCATCGCCGCGCTATCTAGCAGCGCCGGCTGCAACTGATAGGTGCCGTCTGCGCATGCGCGCGTGCCGTTCGCGGTGTCCTTCGTTTTCTTGTTTGATCCGCGCATTATTGGCGTCTCGAGCTGCCAAACGCTGTTCCTATAAACACCGCTAGGTGTTCGACTCACACTCGGAGATAACGTTGACTGCAAGTGGGAAAGGGCCAGTGTTGTCAATGAGCACCGCCCCTTGTGCTATCAGGCGTCGATTTTAGGAAGATCGTTGCGCCGCTCGAACCACCGATAACGTGTGGGTTGGAAGAAGAAAACAGAGGCCCCAGCGGAAGGCACGCTCGCATGCGCAGATGTAGCCTATCAGTTCCAGCCGGCGCTATCAGATAGCGCGGCGATGCAGTTCGGACGTCGCTCCGGCGCCCCGTTTTACTTTGACGGCACCTGTACATTGTGCGTGTGGGACGCGGGACCAGGTTTGTGCATGCAGAAAATTTACGTCCTCGTTATTTTGAAAGTGACAAACAAGGGTCCCGGGAGCCTTCATGTGTGGTACCCAGTTCGATTCCAGACCGTGTGCCGGAGGCGTCTGCTACGAGTCCTCCTCTTCCTGCGTTGGAGTCTCCGAAAGCGGCTGCAGCACCGCCAGAGCCACGCGAAGACTCAGCCTCCTTGGGTCAGCGAAATGCAAGTCCCCGCCAAGGTTCCGCACCGCAGTCCCCTCTCCGAGAACCGGCCTCTCCTCAAGGGGCACAGACTCTTCGACGCAGTGCTCGTGCAAGAAAACCTCTCGATTGGTACACGCCCTAACATTGTGTAAACAAAATTTCTGGGGAGGAGTGTAGTATCTTGCGAAGCGCATCGCGTATGACGTCACATTGATAGTGCGTCGCTTATCTCTATATAAGTGCTGGGAGCCGTATGCTCCGTGTTCTTTTGGTTACGCACTGGCGTGCTGAATAAACCGTCTACGTTGGTCGTCACTCTGGCTCTGCCTCGTCGCTCGCGGCTACAACAGTTTGCAGTGCACACAATTATGATAATGGGAGGGCGTTTGCTTCTTCTGCCTAGTGATTTTGCGAAAGTGAAGAAAATTATAGTTTGTAGGAGTAAATCGCTAGAAATGTATACTAATCTCAATTTCTTAAGCTTACATGCAGCAAGACAGGTATCCTACAGTTTTTGCAATAGGTCGTTTTGTTTGGTATGACTTTTTAAAAGCTTGCAATAAGCTGTCAATTTTTCCGGCTTTGAAAATTTTTACATGCTTGATGACATTTTTGCAGGACTGTCACTCACTCTTAAAGTTGCTGAGACTATGAAACGATGGAAAAGGAAACTAGCACAGAAAGGTAGATAGTTATAAACGTGTTTGATGTGAACTGTTGAAAATAAGGGTGTACCTTGTTCTTTCTTTTTTTTAAGGTTATTACAACAAACTTTTAGCACTAATTGTATTGTCTAAATGTTAACCATGTTCTGCCCACACCATGGAGACACCGATTTTTTTTTTTTTGCTAAAAAAGACGCCGAAACATTATTTAAATAAACCAAATACTGTCACGTCACACCACATAGAAGCAGCACCACTACACGGGAACATGGTGGCAGGCTGTGTGCGCTTGAGCCCTGTCCAACTTGGCTGAACCGGTTTTCTTTTTTCTCCCGTGCCTATTCAACTCCTGCGGAGAGCGAGGAGGGACAACTCGAACGACCAGCTTATAGTGCATTGACGTCATCAAGTGGCGAAGCTCACAGCCACGCCAGCCCCCATATAGCCTTGACTGAAGGAGAACCAGACGTCACGAACGTGATGCATATCGGGAGATCTTCTGAGACACTAGTTTTAAATGTTTTGTGTCTTTTTGAGCAAAAAATTGGTGTCTCCACTGTATGGAAAAACATGGTTGACATTTAGACAATAAAATAGGCACTACGATTTCGTTGCTATATCACTTTAAAACCATTCTGCCCTTTTACCATATTTTCAATATCAGTAGTATTGATATTGCTTTGAAGAAACTGTCTTCAATTCACTTCTTGAGAGAAGTCCACTCTTCACCTGGTTTGCAAGGTTCATACGATAACGTCGGAAACATCTGTTGTGTTGATTGTGAGTATATTTTAACTTAAATGCTTGTGCTTTTTTGGTTACAGGTCCCTTCCAGCACTACACAGGAAAGAGAATGGCCAACAGCGGACTGATTGCAGGAAGAGTAATTGCATCTGCCGCTACTACATATAACGAGCAAGCTGCGACGTCTAAGAGGGAGCAGTCAGAGTGTTTAGCATAAATAAGCTGAGGTGAAAAATCTGTGACTCATATTATGTTTTATCGAATTCTGTCCAGTTTGAGGTAATTTATTTCAATATTTTAGGACTGATTAAGGAAGAACTTTGTACTTATGGTAAGGCTCCATCAGGATGTGGCGTACCTCATTTCCGTCTACTGGATTTTCCACATCCACTATGTAAAGAAGGCACATAACATGCTGACTTTCATTGAACGTGGTTTTGCCGACTGCTACATGAAGACACGGGTGAAGGCACTGGAATTGATAAATTTCTACAGAGCAATCGTGGCTTGTGTACCACTGTTAGCCTAGCGTACCCTACATTGTAATAAATACCCCTGTCAGTTGGGCATTTAAATGGCTTTCGGAATGAATTCCTTCAAAGAATCGGTGAATCAGTTCACAATCTTGGCTCTGCCTGTGCCCTTTGGTGTTCGCAGACATTTTTCGAGGAGTTTGCTCTGAAGGCCATTTAAATGGCCGTCTAACGGGTTATAAGCCAGTTTGCGCCCAAGGCAAAATGAGCTCTTGTTACACGACATGTGCAAAAAATATTCATAGTGCAATAAATTTATTTCGTGCATGATGCTACCTGCTTATGACTTTCCTTCCACACTTCCTGACTTTGAAGAAACTCCTAGATGGATGCGAAGGAATACCCCCGTAGGTATACAACTCCTAGGAGGATGTGAAAGAAGACTCCCGTGGGTCCACGTACTAACTCCCAAATGGATGTGAAAGAATACTCCCTTAGGTCCCGGCAGTAACTCCCAGGTGGATGTGAGAAAATAGTCCCATAAGTGCACGTAAAAACTCCCATATGGATGTAAAAAAATAGTCCCATAAATGCACGTAAAAACTCCCATATGGATGTGAAAAAATAGTCACATAAATGCGCGTAAAAACTCCCATATGGATGTGAAAAAATAGTCCCATAAATGCACGTAAAAACTCCCATATGGACGTGAAAAATAGTCCCATAAATGCACGTAAAAACTCCCATATGGATGTGAAAAAATAGTCCCATAAGTGCACGTAAAAACACCCATATGGATGTGAAAAGATAGTCCCATAAGTGCACGTAGAAACTCCCATATGGATGTGAAAAAATAGTCCCATAAGTGCACGTAAAAACTCCCATATGGATGTGAAAGAATACTCCCGTGGATCCACGTAAGAACTCCCAGGTGGATGTAAAGGAACATTCCCGTGAGTCCACGTAAAATCTCCCATAAGGATGTGAAAGAATATTCCCTTGGATCCACATAGGAACACTCTGACGGAAGTAAATAAATACTCCCATTGATCCATGAACAGACTCCCGTACTGCTGGCAGCTCTGTACATACTCCCTTGCACCCCCCAAAAAACTCTGGCCTGCGTGGGAGTTCATTCTGAACTCCCATCCTGCTGAGTATAAAAACCTCCCACAAGGGAATGCCCTAGAGGACAAGCGATGTACTCCCATCTGGGTATATTTCCGTTTAGTATGTACGACATACCGAACCAAAAAAACGCAAATATAAAAACTTTTTTTTTTAACACGATAAAGGCGTTGAGGATGTTTACACTGCCGGGTCTGTGAGTGTGACCCCTTGACGCTACGAAATATAAATGTTCTAATACCGAACGATGCCGTTTCTGAAAGCTAGTTTAATTATCCGCACTGTTCTTGGATCTCAGGAATAAAAACATGTCTAGGCCTAATAAAATGTAAAACTGCGGAGCGCAACCTCGATAAGTAAGATCAGGCGGCAGGCGAGGGAAATATCACTGATGTACCAGAAGAAATATAAGTACTACTTTCCGTAAGTCAGAAAAATAAGAGATGTGCTTAATACGCACCGCGCTGTGAGCTCAGCTAAATAACTGCCTTAAAATAGCGGTATTTCTTTTTTAATAGTGGGTAAAGTTGACCACCTTCAGACAAACTTCGGCAGCATCACTGCGGCAGTTTGACCACTCACACATTTTCTCATTTTGCTCTCAATATTCCCATTATGATTACCTTCTTTACTTCGTTGAAAGGACTTGCGCTGTTTGCCCACTACACTGACCCAGAAATTAGCACGGGGGCAGCGAATTATCCCGCCAAAACAAGAGGGCGACTGGTTTGTGCTTTGCATCAATTTAAATTTGGGCTCGCACTTCCTATTTTCACATTCTGCGTGATTTTTACCCTAAAGTAAGGGGCCGGCAACTGCAAAAAAAAAACATAGAAAATATTTAAAATACCAAAAAGAAATAAAAAACGTCGTAAAGAAGAAATAACTTTGCTCAACCGGGTATCGAACTACCGACCACACGAACACCAGCATCGCGCGTTAACCAGCAAGACAACATCGTCAAAACGAAGATTTGTTGTTTTCAGTAGTTTATATGTCCGCTGAGTTCGTTTGAATACATTGCACGGTTAGTTTCGTATGCAATTTTTTGCTACGTGTACAGGACGTATTTCTAATATCGTGGCAATGTTTACATGCTCAATGCTTTATTAATACTGTGTCTTTTAATACTATTTTAATGCGCTTTTCTGATCGTTTTATTGCAAGCGTGTTGAAGATACGCGCACATAGCTTCCGTAAAGTCGTTAGGCATCCATAGTAGCCAACGAACGCGATCCAATTCAATCCACAGCCTTGTTTTGCCGGCCATGTTGGCGGTGTGTGTTTCACGTCTCTGTCTT